AGTCAAACTAACCCGAAAAGGACACCTACGCCAAACACACCCTGCGGGCCAACCTGTTCAAGCCTCAAGTTGCTGGAACCCACAGCTCCGGAATCGGCTGGGCCAACAGCCGCTGTTGGGATACTCGTGAATGCACGAGTTGTGCTCCGACAGTCTGGGTTGCTCAACATGGATCTAGGGCCAAACACCAGGATTGGGACACCAATGACGAGAAGCCGCGACCACCTATAAAGATTGAGGATTGAGTAGAAAGTTGGTTACAACGTCGCCACATCCCCCAAAAAGCCTCAGGCGCCAGAGGGGGAGGACTGTGTTAAATGGCGTGCCAGGCACGGGGCGGAAAGCACCCGGCCTCGGCACTGCTTGGGCTTGGGCTGCCTGCCACTTGGTAGGAACAGCCAAACAAGCCGAGGACAGGCTTGTACGAACCGTACGGTGAGAATCTCTGGCTTTATGACGGCTTGCTTCCAAAAGAGGCAAAAACTAGTGGCAACCTGCATGCAATCTGTGCAGTGACGTGCATCTCAAGCGTCCAAAGCGTCCGCAAAAACCATCCTTCATCCTTACCCTGAGGTTGTGCATTGGGCGTGGTGGACACTTGTTGTCCGTGTGACAACTTGACAGGAGCACAGCGTCTGGTGCTTTGTCGCAAGGCCAACATGGTGCTGGCGTGTATCCGTGAAGGCCCTTCCAAACAAACACCCCCTCCGGCACAAACCAAGTCAAGTTGTCGCAGGGGAACAATTGCTCTACGCCTTGTTTCTGCATCAACTGGCGCGCGGCAACAGAACGCACCAGTTCGAGACCAGATCTTGTTCAAAAGTATGAAGGTTTCATGGGGGCTGGGGGGGGGAAGGAGGGGGTGGGAGGGAGCCCAAATAGCCCTAAATAAGGCCTTTTTAAGGGCTTAAGGGCTTATTTGGGCTCCCCCCCCCCTCCTCCCTCCCCCCCCAGCCCCCATGAAGGTTCTTGCAGGAGACGGGAAACATCGGGTCGGGCCCCGGGAGTCGGGCTCCTAGAAAATGTCCTGACTTCGTTGTGGGCCTCGAGTTGGCCAAGTTGTGGAACAAGTTTGTCCCGGGCACCTCGACAATAGCATTGCCAGCTGGACATCGTTGCCCCAGCACCCAGAGCCCAGTCCTTGCTCGAGCTCCAGCTCCAATCTCCGCTCTCGCGCTCTGGCCTGACAGCCCGTGCCGCAAACAGAAGGCCAGTAACTGGAACGCAGCAACGGACAAGCGAGACAACTGCCCACTTTGTGAAACGTAGTTGACCGCGACAGTGGTAAGAAGTGGACCCAGTGGAAGCATGGGAAAATTATCAGGATGTATTATTCTATCATCTAGCCAGCAGTAAATGTGGCTTACACACAAACAAAATCATCCACATATACACACACATGGGCATACACCTATAGCTGCATGTGTAAACGTGTGCATAACTACGCATGCCGTACTTCGCACTGACAAACCATGCACATGCAAACAGACATGCCAACATGCATTCATTCATGCAAACAAACAGACCAACAAACAACAAACAAACACATAAATGAGCAAGCAAACAAATGAACAACTACATTTGTGCAGGTATGTGCACATAACATGGATAAACACCGTGACTTCTCATTTCTTTGGACGAAGAAGGGCTCCCGGCCAAGCACCCGCCCACCAGGAGCCAGGCCTAGCGCAGGTTTTTGTGGGTCTTCCCGACATACCCAGTGAGTTACTGAATGGATTTTCCACTGGATTGGCCAACCGTTTCTAGACTGGAATTAGGACCCCAGCAACAAAACATCTTTTTTGCCTGGTTAGTGGAAAACAAAGGGGACCCCAAAAAAGCAAAAAAGCAAAAAGGGGAGCTAATTCTGGGGAAGGTTTTTGTACCCTGTATGGATTTACCATGGTCCAAACCGTGACAAAAGCCCTGGAACTCAGCAGTTTGCATGTAACAAGCCAGTGGTTGGCAGGAAGTTGCTAGGAGTTAGGCAACTGAATTCATTTCAGCAACTCAACTCGAGGCAAAGAACCTTTCTTGCAACTTGGGGCTGACACAACTCGCATTGAGCCTGCATTGGGGATCGCGAGGTGTGCCCAAACGGGCAGAAAAAGCCTGGCCTCTGCAGAGGTTCCGCTGGATAAGCCTGGCTGGACGCTGCATGAGGAAAAACAGACACGGGGGTCGAGAGGCGCCGGATGCTTCGCCAAAAAAAGTATAGAGGCAGTCCAAACTAAACCCTGATATGGGCAGGTCATTTTGTCCATCACATACAGGGGTTCTATTGAGACGCCATCAGACAGGAGGCCCCATCGGGGTTCTATTTTGGGTACCCATTTTTGAGCGCATGCCGGGCCTTAGAGTCCCAGGCCCATGGCTCCCTTCCGGGCCTGGCGCGTAGCGAGCCAGGTGGCTAGGCTGATCCTAGGACCCCTGGTGAAAAGGACAATGGGAAAAAAAAACTCCGCACCTGCGTCACTTGCAGGCCGGGAAGCCAAGGCTCGAAATTCGAAAGCCCGATGCACTTCGCATGGGCCAGGTTGTCCGCATGCTGGAAGCAAAACAAACAATTGTTTGGACGGTGTGGTGGGGTATGGTGGGGTGGAAATGAAAATGACCAACTAAGACTGGCAGGCCTTGAAGCTGCAATGGCTATGATGCTTCAAATCTTCTTGCGTGCTGGACATCAGTATTGGTGGATTACCATTTCAAGTTGCCAAAAGTGGCAAAGCGTCCTACATCACTTGATTCACAGATCTGCGTGCTCTCCACCCCTTGAAGCTGCACATGTGGATTGTCACACTGTCCTGCCATGATGCTTTCCTGATCAAGAGTCAAAAGTCAAAAGCATGATCCTGCACTCACAGTCAGTACTCAGGACATTCGGAACCCTACAAACTACACCCCCACCAACTTGCTCTCTGGAACTCCGACAACTCCGACTACTTCGACTCCAAAAAAATCAAGTTGGGCATGCGGTTTCATGCGTCATGATTTGAGGCCATGATAGGCTCCCGGCCAGCTACCCCACGAGGACCTGGCAAAGTTTGCGGGCGGAACTTGGCTGTGCGAAACCAGCTGACAAAAGCGGAGTCCGTATATTGGATTGCTTGCAAACAGATGGCCCTGGACGAATAAACCACCGGGTAAACCGGGGCCACCTATGTTCAACCAACCCACCCCCAAAAAAAAGAAAATACTTCGCTTCGAGCAATCCCCACCCTCCACACTCACAAGCTTACGACCGTTACAACAAATTATTCCGCATCCTGGAGACTTCGACTCCAAATTCAAATCGGCCCTTTTGGACAGTAAGCAAAACCATACTGGCGAGCTGCTCTGGCGGGATATTGGCGGGATCCACTGGCGAATACTGGCGAGCCACGGATACTCGGCAGGATCCACCGGCAAGGGATCAGCGGGATACTTGGCGGGATCCACTGGCAGGCTGCTCTGGTGGGATGCTGGCGAGCTACTCTGGCGGGATCCACTGGTGAGCTAGTGGATACTCGGCGGGATCCATTGGCGAGCCGCTCTGGCGGGATACTCGGCGGGATCACTGGCAAGCCGCTCTGGCGGGATACTCGGCGGGATCACCTGACGAGCAGCTCTGGCGGGATACTGGGCGGGATCCACTAGCCAGCTGCTCTGGCACGATACTCGGCGGGATCCACTGGCGAGCCGCTACTGGCGAGCTCTGGCGGGATACTCGGCGGGATCCACTGGCGAGCCGCTCTGGCGGGATACTGGGCGGGATCCACTGGCGAGCCGCTCTGGCGGGATACTGGGCGGGATCCACTGGTGAGCAGCTCTGGCGGGATACTCGGCGGGATCCACTGGCGAACTGCTCTGGCGGGATACTGGGTGGGGGCGTGGTGTAGAAGCATCGCAAACGCGGATTCCAACATAAAATCTAACAACCCCTTCCTGTCGGGTGGGGAAAAAAAAACAGCCATCCGGCACAGCTGGCACAATGACGCAATGTCAATCTCCCACTTCGCTTGCTTACTTGTTTGACCAAAGCGAAGACGGCATGTGCCTTGACACCGTGCCGCTCTGCAAAGAATCACGAGCAACACTGCAGCTTCAAAGTATTGAACACTTCAGATCCAGCCGTGAACCAAGAGGGTCCCAGGTCTGCAACTCCCTACGTTTGGAAACCGCGGCTCGCTCATGGCTATCGCGACTCTATGGAACTGACTCGCATTTCATCTTTGACTGGCAAAGTCCATGTCGATCTAAGCCTAAAAGCCAAACGCGGGGGTCGTCACCTTTCGCCTGGCATGCCAATCAGTGTTGAACCAGTGTCGGCGAATCCTGAACCATTTTGATCAACACGGCCCACACATACGCAACTAGATGTCACACTTGCGGATGCCGCTGCCACCGGCCACCAACAACGTGCAGAGAATTGGTTGCGGAGGGAAGGCCAACCACGGGTCACATCTTGTAGCAAAACTCAAACTCATCACAGGATCCCGCACGAAACGCTGCTACAAACATACAATCTTGCAGCCTTTTGGAGTGGCATGATTCGTCATCTCTGGAGGAAAGGGTTCTGCCTGAATGACGCATGTCGACGCAAAACCTGACATGGGGATGAGCCAATGCTAACCGCAAAGCATCTAAGCCATCTAAACACTCCGCTGGACAAATGGCAAGCACACAATCTGCCTTGAAACGGAAAGAGTCTCTTGAAAGTTTAAACTGCCCTGTTTGCGGATGCCTTTCCAAACATTAAGCCCAACGCCATCTCGGCATCTCGCCTCTGGCCCGGCTGGGACCATGAGCCACTCCTAGCAAACACAGCTCAACTCGCTCGCGGGCCACGGTGAATCGGAAGCGAATCGGAAGTTGTCTCTGACTTTGGTGGGCCAAGTACGACTAACTTCAGTGCCCTGGATTGGCTCTCACGCTTCCTGGGGCCATCTTTGTTTTCTTTCATGTTGGTGAAAAAACAAAACAAAACGCCCCCCCCCCCCCAAAACAGCACACAGTTGCTGCAACCAGCGGGGGCCGCGCATACTTCATGTGAACTACCGAACAAAACGCGCCTTCCCGACTAGGCGAACCCACACCTCATGGCATGCCAAGCAGCCCCCTTGACCCCACATGAGGTATATTCGAGACCGAAGAGTACCATACAATACCCAGACTTGTTGAGATGGTCCCAACCCAAGCCATTTTAGGTATATACCAAAGAATGCCACAGAATTCCCAGACTTATAGAGATGAACAGCCCCCAATCTTCCTTCGGCCTGAGCGCCTTGCCAGGGCTCTCCCCAGCTGTCCGACCAGGAAGCATAACTCCATGGCATGGGCGCATCCCGTGTGCACGAAGCGATGGTTCGGGCTTGTGCCAAGGGATGCCAGCAAACAAATCCAAACACGCACAACCGCGTGTTTTCTCCCAAAAAAAGCAGCGCCTTGTGTGGCTGTGCGGCAGTCCAACCAAAGGTGACCTTTCCATTTGGCAAAGTCAAATCAAAGATCGGGAGCCTCACAAACTGGAAACCTGGAGCAACCAAAGGGTTTCTTTACGTGATTCAGGTTGCCAACATCCAGGCGGACAGGCAAGTGAGTCCTGGCTCCGAAAACCTGCTTCGTATGTTCTGCCCCTGCCTCTAGTGAACTCCGGATACTTGCGGCGGTATTGTCAAGGGACATTGCCTTGGACAAGTGGCCACCCATGGGGAACCAGGAAGCTTTGTGAATAGCTGGCTCGCTGTGCAGAAAGCTCTCTGGGGGCAACATGGTGACAGACTCATGGGGTCACATTTGATGGAATGCAGCTTAAGGTGGCTCGAGCCAAAACAAATAGATTGCAGCAAAGTTTTGCGGCAAATAAACCTGCAGCGGAGCTGTGTCAACTGTGTCCAAAAAAAAAGTGCCCTGCATCATTCGCACAAGCCTTTCCTTCTTGGCTCACAAAATATCTAAAACCAATGTAATTCAGAAAGCAGGCTCTAATAGGCTCTACCTGGCCGAAACTGGCGCGCCAAATCATGAGAGCAACTTGGGAATGATTTTTAAGTTATTTCATCATTGGGTTTAGGCGGGTATCATTTGCATAGGCGATTCTGCCCACCCCACAAAACATGTACCCCAGGCTCAAGCATAGCGAGCCGCCGTTAGGAGCGCGTGAGGTTTGCATGCTTGGGCGTGCCAGCTGGCCGCCCAGTCGCGCACAGCCTGTTGCATGCTCCATCCAAAAAACAACGGAAGATTGCACCGTTGTACGCACGATGTCCTATATAACTCATAGTTCAAATGCAAAGTATGTCTCCCAAGCAGCTTTTATACGAGTCGTATCTAATTTACCTCCACGTGCTCTAGCAATCACGTCCCAAAGTGCATGCTGGTTGGCAGGGGGCGTGTATGTGGCTCTTCTGGACTGTTTTCTTGCAGGTGACACATTCGCGAAAAATGACTAGCCTGACGCGCCTGATGCCATGAGGCAAACAATTTTCTGAGGCCATTGCTTGTGACCCCAAGTTGATCAAAGGTACAGTATATCTCAAAGATGTGTGTTCTTGCTGACCAGAACCGTTGAGAAGCTTGCCATCACGTATCTTGCCCCTTGGTATGCAATGGGGTTACTTTTTCTGCCAGGGCACACTGGGGTTATGGGGTCCTCATTTTCGCGCCACTGCCATGAGTCGGGTGGAAAACAAGGGCTCGGGCTAAAAATCTAGCCATTAATTACCCAATTGTGGTACTCTCCTTTGTTGGGTAAACATCCGGACGTATGGCTTTTTTTTTGCCGGGGCATCTCCTGGCTCGCCACAGCAGCCTGGGTTCCTTAAAGGAACAGCCGCTGGAGAAGAGGAATGGCAACGCATGGGCTGTGGAGTCGCCCGGACTCGCGGCGTTGCCCGACTCAGCTGCTCTTGAGGGCTTCGTCCACCCGCGCCTTGGAACGCTCACGGCACGGCCTCACAAGCGGAGCGACTGGTTGCCTCACTCCGCTGGGAAGAGGTGATCATCCTCCACTGGAAAAAGATGATCACCTTTTTAGGGCCATCGCGAAACCAGGGAAACCAGAAGGAATGGTCGCTTCGCTTGCAAGTGACTTGCAAGTCAGCTTTCAAACAGGAGCCCACAGCATAGCCAACAGGGGCCTCTTGGCACTTGTGAAGCGAGGCGTGGCGCTCTTGACTTGAGGGGCTTTGGGTTGGAAGTTGATGGAATGGCTGAACCTATATGAAGAGTTCAATGCGTGCATGTCTCTGGTGGCACGGAGTCGCAGACCCCTCTTTAAGCGTCATGAAGCCCGGAAAACGACCATCTGCACTAATTGCTGCATGTCACCTGAACCAAGCAACACCTCAGTGCCCCAGTGAGGCTCATTACCCCCAGGTGAGCTCCTTATGTCCCGTTTCTGACGGTTGGAAGCACACCTCCAGAGTGCTGATGGGAGCCCAAGATTCAGAACCTCTGTTCCACTGAATGCAAACATGTGTAAACAATATACATATGTATATATATATATACATATATTGAATGTGTATGTGTATGTATATATATATATATGTGTGTGTGTGTGCGTATCTATGTATATCACAAACATATGTATATGATACATACATATATATATATACACGTATGTACATAGACATATTAATACACATAGGTTCGTAATCACATGAACATAACATTTACATACACATCAACATATGCTTAGATTAATAAACAAACAACAAAAGAAACACAACGCCAGTCAGCGAGATGCATCCTTGGACAAATACACCAGCATAGAGCCCAAAGGGCGTAAAACCAGGCCGATGATTAGCATCTCTTAGAAGTTAGAACCCCACATAGATTTTAGCTATCTGGGGAAAAACAGAACTAGACTCCTCTGACCTGACTGCTGGCCTTTTTTGATTGCGTGGCCCTACATCCCAGGCCACTTGATTTCCTGACATCTGGGCTGCCCGGCGCAGCTGTCCTGCGACAGGCCGGAGCCCTCATAGGGCAAAGCCACCGAGAACACTTGCGCCCGACGCCGGATCCTCAGATCTCACACAACCGGCGCCAAATATTCGGAGTGTGGGCGGGGAACCCCCTAACCCCAAACGACGTCGACCAGGCTGTGGGAAATGACCACTTCTGCGATATAGCAACTGGGTGTCCCAAAGACTAACCCCTTTATAAAGGGGCGGATTCACCTGTATTAACAGAAGTGGGGAAAAGTTTGATCCCACCACCCTCAAGTCGACCCAATATGGAATGACACTGCTTTTGTTGCACCCTGACATCTTGAACATGGGTTTTTGTGCCCAGCCAGACTTTGAGGGTGCACCCTAGTCATAGGCAGTTGGCGTTGCCAAAAAACTCAGCTGTAGCTGCCGTTTGTTCTATATACATACATACACACATATATATATATATATATATATGTTACACACATATATCTTGGTGAACTATAATATTTCACCAACGCCACACAAACCACCATTGGGGTGAGTCCTTATAGTTCACCCAGATGTATATATATATATATATATCCGCTCAAGAACTCCTCCAAGTCTTGGTGGCAAGAACATGTTGTAAGGTGCCGAAACGCAAGTTGGCGCTTCGGAGCACAAAGGTTGCACGCAACACCTCACATCTTACCACCCCTAGTTGCAAATCATGAGCAAAATGGCAAACCTCTCTCAAGCTGGAAAGGTTGAAATGCGTAGGTCTGAATATGTCGGAATTCACCTCCTCACTACAAGCGAACCGGCCAGGGAATGAGTCCCCCCACATCATCAACCCAAAGCACCAACTCCAAAATCCACCCAAACTCATTCCCAAACAGCAATCAGGTGGTATCCAAAAAGTCCCAAAACGACACACACACACACACACCCGAGCCCAGGCCAAGCCAAGCCAACAAAAACTCAAGCCCAAAAAACAATCCCGAAGTCACCCCCCCCCACCAACCCCAACCCACGGGCTGAGGCAAGTGCCACGCAGGGATCGGATCCTCACCTCGCTTGCGGCACACGCGAGGGAAAAAGCCGGCTTTTGGAGCCTCCATTTGACACGAGGAAAATCAAGAACCAGGCTTTTTGGTCTCAAAATTTTGGCAAGGATCCCAAAAAAGAACATGGGGTATCATGGGGTTCAGCCTCCATTTGGTCTTCTAAGATGTCTTTTTCCGGACCCTTAGAAGACCAAGGGCAGTACATGTCAGAAGTAAACTGCTAGACACCCAGCTTGGCAGCAAAAGATTCTCAGTTTACCTATTGATGGTTCTTGCCGTTCCTTCCTTCCCGCTCTCAAGTGCTTCTGCCACAAGGATACAGCGTGTTTGCACGCCTGCGCGAACCAGGAGATGGGTGTGGCTCAAAACAGGAGGGGTTGCGCAGATTTTGGTCCATGTTTTCACTTACCAGGGTTCCAGTTTGGTACTGGTTTTTTGAGCCGCAGCTAGATTGGAATCATGAAGCGAATCATTTAAGGCCATGGCCCAAGGAGTCATCCACCAGAATGATCCTGGCGTGAAGGCTCGGATCAAAAGCCCCGCCCAGAAGCCCCGGCCAGCAAAACTGGTTGTCTCTGAAGATGCTTTACCACAAACGTTTCAAAGCAAACCAGAAAACATTCCAAGGAGGTTTGATATAAACAGCACCGCAGCATTTTCACTCCAAGCGATGCGATGCGAATCTGATAACCCACCTTTTCCTGTGGGATTTGCGTTGGTATCCACAGCATGAATTTCCTCATGCTGTGGCCCAGTCAATTCGCCGATTTCCTCGGCGCATCGGGTTTACCCCCGATAAGCTCTGGATGCCCTGCATCAAGCAGAATGCATCTCCCACCACGGAGCTACCTGACTGACTGGGGGCCTGGTCCCCCAAACATTTTTCTAAGCGCGGCGCGCTCTTCAAAGATCACGGACGTCCCAACGAGGGGGGCCGGTGAACTAGGGCGGGATAGGGTGGGGTTAAAATTAGCCAGTTTGGATCATACTTGAGCCAAAAGGCCCCGCATGATCCAATACACTCCTTGCAGAATGAAGCCTGTAAACCCAAGCCTTCCAACCTGATACAGGATTACATTCCAAGGAGGTTTGATATAAACAGCACCGCAGCATTTTCACTCCAAGCGATGCGATGCGAATCTGATAACCCACCCTTTCCTGTGGGATTTGCGTTGGTATCCACAGCATGAATTTCCTCATGCTGTGGCCCAGTCAATTCGCCGATTTCCTCGGCGCATCGGGTTTACCCCCGATAAGCTCTGGATGCCCTGCATCAAGCAGAATGCATCTCCCAAGGCACTCACTTTCACAACCTCTCCCAATGCACTCACAGGAACTCAGCAAAGGTAATCACTGCGCGGT